CATTATTTTATTCGAGAAAAATCGGGTAAATTCATGTCCGCGACGCGACCGAGGCCAGCCGCGGCCGTGGTGATGAATATGGCCACCCTCCGAGCTTGACCCCACGGACGCATCCGCAAGTGTTTCGTAGGTCAAGGCGACCCCCTTGCACCACCTATATTCTTGTTCATAATGAAAGCCATTGCATCTTTCCTTCGCACGGACGCATCCATAGACCGCCTCGCTGAACAAAACCACAACCTCCTCCACGACTTCGTTCTCCCCGCCACACAGATGTTCGCAGATGATCTTACGGTCCTCATTCGCGCCAGTAACTACTCCTTCCAGGCCATGGCCCGCGCTATGGAAACCTTCAGACTCGCCTCAGAAATGAAGGTAAACTGGTCGAAAACGGAAGGTGGTGGCTTGCAGAAGGCACTTCCCCCCAACCTCCAGACCCAACCACCGCAATGTCATGGACCACAGGCAACCAAACACTCAAATACCTGGGCATTATGGTAGACAGAGATGGCATCTGGCAAGGCATGGGAGAGACTTTAATTGCCAGAACAATAACCCGTCTAGCCACCTGCAACAAAGCCCAGACCTCCCTGCTAGGGAGAACCCTGATCATCAACACAACAATGTTTTCCACTCTGTAGTACTTGGCCTCCATATGGTCCCCTCCTGACGATGACGTGAAGAATCTAGAGCCAGGTGCTACCTGTGGACTGGCGACCCCAACAGAACCACCTGCATTATTAGGCTGCATAAACAAGGTCGCCTGGCAAACCGTCATCAGGAAACCACATGAAGGCGGGCTAGGTATAATCGACCCTAAACAGGAAGCAATCACCCTCCAAATGAAATGGATAATCAAAGTCCTAACCAAAAAAGCCCTCCCGTGGACTAAGATGGCGATAGACAACATAAGAAATTTGGCACCGGTAGCATCCCCTCCAAACATGAGTGGACTGTTTTGGATCATGGCAAAGGAATGGTCAATCAAATCCGGAAGACCTACTAGGAGTACCAACCACGGGGCCCCCAATCAGCCCCTCACTGCACCCATGCGGCCCATCCCCTACTGGACCAACTGGTCACCGATACTGAAGGCCTAGCGCCGACTGTTGCGAGAAAAGAAAGGGTCCCCGAGCAACAAAGAGGAAGTCCTAAGACAACCCCTGTTCCGCAATCCCTGGATTAAAGATACAGAGGGCAGACCATGGACTCTCCGGGCCAAAGACCGCAGAGGGTTGTCTTGGGTGGAGAGAGGAGTATGGCAGGTTAAACATCTATGGTGCGAGGACCGACAAGAATGGTTAACCGTACAGGACCTCCGCACAACCTACTGACCACCAACCTATCAGAAATACTCCAAAGCACTCCCCCCCCATGGACGACCCTCAAAGAATCACACACGTGGAAATCAGGAGAATGGGGACTGCTCACCACATAGACCCCACAAACAAGACCCTACCGCTTCGTGTCCAAACCGGACCCGACCAACTACCAGGCCAAGTTCATATCCTACCCAGGCTACCCTATCATCAAACACAACATTTACAAACTAGAGGTCCTGAACACAACACCACAGAACGAACAAATAGAAACCTCCCTTCTTAGGAAGGTTAGAATCTCTCACAGGAAACCCTGGATTCTTTCAGCTGGAACTCAGCATTAAGGAGCTGGAATTCAACCCAAAGGAATGGATATGGGATCTGGGCGCAACCGGGAAATCGAGGACGATAACAGAATATGATGTAAAGTTCGGATATAACCTCGGAATACAAACCAGGGACCCAAATCCGAGGGTGACAGAAAAATGGAGAAGCATACTGAACCTAGGTTATACGATCCCCTTCACCATCCCCTGGACCAAATACCTTCTCATCAGACCTATCAGAATTCGCAGCTTGCAATGGCTAATAGCACATGCAGCCCTTCCCGTCAAGCAGTGGCTACATACTAGAGGGAAACACTCCCGGCCCTGATGGTTTGGAATGCTGCTCAATGTGCAGCAACAACTCTCCCGAAGACATCCCACACTGCCTCCTGTTCTGCCCAGAAGCAACATGGGTATGGAAGAAGGTCCGCGAGCTATGGTCGATCCTGTTCGCTTCGCCGCCCCCTGACATTGCCCCTCTCTCTATCCTAATCCTGACTAACATCCCCAGCAACATCACAGGCAGCAGGGACGTATGGTTTACCTTGCAGGAAGCTGGCACTGTGGGTAATATGGAAACACAGATGCACTCAGACAATCGAGGGTGCAGAGGTGGCTAGGGAAGAAATGTGGTCACAACTGCTGAGCATGGCAGAGACGGAAATCAGAAGCAGATGTCAACTCTATAAGACACAGACCAGAAGGACAAGCAACCAAGAAACAGACCTTCATGAGGAACTGGCTGCTAAGGGGCAAGGTGGCGACGATAGTGGCCGACAGGTTGAGGTGGAAGAAATGGCACCAGGCACAATCATGAAGTCTATAAGGCCTCCCGCCGGGCGCCCTGGCAGAAGGTCAAGAAGGCCCTGAAGAGGGATCAACAACAAGGCTAACCGGACACAC